TATATATATATTTATTTTTTTTTAGGGCCTGTAGACTGGGTTATTTGGGAAGAAAATGAAGAGTACTGCCAGGCCTTGGAGTGCAACGGCAAAACAAGGGAGTCATGGGGTTGACAGAGGAAAATCGCTTTCCACTGCCTCAACAGGAATGAAGACATCAAAGTCCTCGACTTCACTTGCCTTTGAATCTCGGCTCAGCAAGGTACTAACCAGCAGGGACTGTGCAAACGTTATAGCCTTGTTCCAGGTTAAATTTTTGGTTTAGTCTGGGAATGTTACTGCACCCTGAGACTTGCAGTGAGCAAGAGAACCTACTTGTATTAAGCATAGGGAGATTATAATTGTGCTGTATATTAGACTAGTGCACATTTCTGAATATATTTTGCATGTGATGGGGGAGACACTGTATCTGTACGAGGTATGAGTATGTTCTCTTACACTGTGTGTGAGGGAACTGCCTTAACTTTGAAGAAGGAATAAAATAAACAGCAAATTTTTAGTTCAACTGATTGTTAACACATGTAAAGAAATGGAGAGAGATTTATTAATAGATTTCCAGAATTCCTAGAAATCTGTGCCTTTCCCTTCAAGGCAAAATATTTTAACAAAAGATATTACTTGCAATGGAAGAAATACATTTTATGAAACCTATTTTTCTATACAGCTATATTTCAAAAATAGCAGAAACTTCTGTCAAAATAGTGTTTTTAAGACAATGGAGTAATACACCTGAAATGCTGCTGCATCTGTACCTTTGCAGCCAGCAAACAAAAATAACCTTCTAGTCTGATACAGAGCAAGATAACCAGTGATGAAAATAGACCATGGGCTTCCTGGTTGTAACTGTTTCCAACAGTAAAGTTTAGTAAACAATACATACATAGTACAGCATTTTAATCAAGAGGACATCTAAAGGTCATTAATCATCACAGCTTCTCAGGTGAAGGATTAATTTACTTAACTTGCTTTGTGAACTTCTAGATGCTCTGAGCATCTTACCACTAGGGTATTTCAATGTAGTGCTCTGGCAGGTTATGTTCATTGTTGGAGCATTTGCTGTCTGGCTGAGGCAAGCATTTCTGAAGGAATGCTATTGAAGAGACTAATTGGGAAATCTGATATGATTAATTTGTGTATGGTGTTAAACGTAGAAGGTTTTCTTCCTGATTATAGCTAATGTCTTCAAATTGTCGATCATCTGCGAATGCAAGATCATCAAAGTGGTTTCCTTGAAGAAACAGGGTAGAAAAAGGCACCACAGTTGCTGCTGTAGAAGAGGGCACATTGAAGAAATTACTTTAGAGAGACTGCAGAAGCCTCTAAAGGTCAGAAAGTCAGATTGTTCCACTCTGCTCCTAAGAGTGAGCTGACAAAACCTCTGCCAGAAGGCAAAACGTTAGCTGTTTGGTATCCTGGAGCAGATCAACACTTCAGCTACTGAAGCTTATGTGCTCACAGGGAAACCACAGGCTCTGAGTCAGAGGAAGAGATGAAAGGGAGAAAGAATCGGAGCTGAGAGACTTCATTTTGCTTAAAGATTTTTACATTCAGGAACTGCTAAATAGGGAGAGTGCTTGATGTGTGCTCCCTTTTCATTTAACCCAAGCGGTGGTTTTTAGCCTGTGGTTCATGGACCCCCTGGGTGCCAGTGGACAACTTCAAAGGAAGCGAATTTTGATTTGTGAAAACAGTTTAGGTGTCCACAAACTGAAAAGGATAGGAAAAATGCTGCTCTAGGGAGACTCTCCAGAGCTTTGGTCTTCTAAAACGCTTAAAGTATTTTTCCTGAAATTAGAGGCTCTTATTAGAAGTACACATTGCTGTTACAGAGGCACACCAATGGGAAAGCAGCTGACCAAATATTCCAAGATAAATTGCCGCTTCTGCTTGTTGAAGCAACATAATTTCAGTGTTTCTATTTGAATCTTAAGTTCATTGTGCTTGAATTGCATGGATTTCTTGAGTATTTAGAGTAGACTTGCTTTATCAGAAATCCCCCTCCCAAAAAAGACCACACAGCAATCCCTTGCTTTGTCATGTATTTCTCTGAGACAAGTGTCTCTTAACCCATTTCACAAATATCTAGAATACAAAACAAATACAAAAATTAATAAAAGATTATTTAGTATGGTTATCAAAGCAACGTTCCCATTGGGTTACTTTATGGAAACGTTCCTTTTCTCCCAGGAACCTTGCATTTTGAATTACTTGATGGGAATATTCAAGGTCTTAATCTTCTGGTTGCTCACAAACCCTTTGTATTGCAGCTGAAGAGGGCAAGCAGTGATGACATGCTGACAAAGCCGGGGGCGGCAGCAGCTTCTGGAGTCTCTAGACTGAAGAAGACCATTACAACAGGAGCGATTTCTGAGCTTGCTGAGAGTCGACTGAAGCCCAGCACAGGTAGGTACAATGATTCTGGAAGACTGTCTACTTGATATGAAATGTGCTGTAGTGCCGCTGGGGTTACAGAGTTCCTGGCTGGGTTTTCCTTACCCCCGCCTTGCAGCCCGGCTGTAACTTACCTGCGGTAGTATTCAGCATATAGGACGAGATGTGCAATAAACCCCTTTGAAAGCTCTGTTTTTTAAAAGTTTTCACTACATATCAACAGCCTTCTGTCTTCTCCCTCTACTGAACAAGCAGAGCGGTTACCCTGCTGTTCATGGAACACAGCAGAGACGGGAGAACAAAGAGCCAGCCCTAGCATCTTCATGTATAGCTTGTGCTCCTAAGCTAAGTTGTGGCATGCTCTCCCTCGGCATTAGCCCCATCAGCTTGTTCTCATTGGTTTCAAATTTAAGCCTCTTTCTAAAGGCAGCGACACCATCTGCATACCAAGGGCTTCTGTGCAAATGCTCTGCTTTCCCCCAGGAGCTCAGCAAATGCTTGCTTTTGTCTGCTCCCTGGTGGCATTTCCAAGGGAATGTGAGATCTTATTAAATTTGACCATGACCTCTGTATTTGTCACAGGCTCTGCAGGGTTTGGCTGTGTAACAGAATAGTGTTATGAACCAGAAAGGGATTTCGGGGAGGGGGGGGACCAAACCTAAAACAAACAAACAAAAAAAACCCACCACCCAAAACCTTTATAGACTTCCCCCTGCCCCTGAAAGAAAATGATGTATCTTGTAACAACATAAATGCTTTGTAGTAACCCAAAGACAGATCCTGTTCTGCAGTTAATCGGTGTGTAGATCTGCAAATTTAATAGTGACTAGTAGTATCCAAATGCATTTGAGATTCACCAGCCAATAAAGAGGCATGATGCTGGCAAAAGATGCTTGGGAGGAGTAATGAGCGGAGAAAACCTGTACGGATGATGCAGCATAGGATCCTGGGACTGCAGCCAGGGAAACAGCACTGCAGGGAGCCCAGAATGAAATATATATGTCAGATACAAAATACTAGCACTGGAATAGAGAGCCCTCTTCTGCATGCATGTATAATAACTGGGATTGGGGGAGGGAGAAGATTGATGATAATGACGACTACTTTAAATACAAAGGGTAAAATGGTTTATGGAGGTCAAGTTACATCTGGGTATTGTTTTGCCAACTTAAATTACATCATTGCATCTGACCTTACATATCGCTTTGCATCAGCATTTGCAGAAGGGGATGAATGGGAATATTAGTGCTGGGCAAAAAGATTCCAAGTGTGGAGCTATGCATATTGTGTAAATAAACAGTAAGAATATATGTGCTACCCTTCTAAAATACCTTTTATCCTAGAGAGAACTGTTCCAGGTCTTATTTGGGCTATCTACAGGTAGGTGTACAAAAAGACCTGTATCTTACATATCTTAATTTTCACAGTGGTTCCATAGGCTGAAAGGGTGCTCGGAAATCTAGCTGTATTCTGGGAAGATATGTTGCTATCATGGCCACTGAGAGGTGCTAGGTGTTAGTGTACAATGTTACAAAGCTGAATGCTACTTTTAGATTGTTCCACTATGAAAAAATACCAATAGGCATATTATAATACAGTATATTGTTGCTAAGAGGAAAATTAAAAATCAGATATGACAGAGGGCACAACATGTTCCTGAGAACATTAAGTTGAAAAGGAAAGAACATTGTTTCAGCTGCTATATTTTATTGAAATGGCATCCCAAGTAGTCTCTGATTGTGATCAAGACTATGCTACAATGCTAACTGACTGTGGAGCTAATCCAAGTACGAATGTTCCTGTAGCTGGGAAATGCAGATGTTTGTGTACATAGCCAACGGTGTAAATCTTGACATTTTGTGCTGGAACCACTTTCTTTGGCTTCTTTGCCTTCATCAGCTCTGCATTTTCCTTTCATGTCTTCCCCCTGCCCTTGTTTGTGCTTTCTAGATTGGGCTTTCTTTGTTATTCAAGTGAGCAATTTGATTATTTTACTGAAATGATATTACATTAGTTCCAGCTACACTCTGATGGTACTCAGTTGGTATTATGGTATTGTGTAAGAGAAATGAAAAGAAACAAGGTATGGAAATTAAAAAAGCTTAGGTTTCTTTTTTGGGTGTGACTGTCCAACATTTGTATGTTGACCTTGAGCAGTAGCATGTGTCCCAAATGCTGCAGATAATAAATACTTGACATCAAGATTGCTTGTTTAAATAGGCTTGTTTGTATACTGCCCTTGGTGGAGTTTAAGTTCTTTATTCTAGCCTTTTGCTGACATAACTACCCCCATCTGCCTTGTTGGGAGCTAATGCAGTAAATTATAAGCAACTTAAAGGGAGGTGAGGCCAATCTCATGTCTCCATTCTTGGCAAGTGGAGTTGAGCAAATGGAACTGGAGACGGATTCTGGCTGAAAGTTCTGTGCTGTGATGCTTGGCTTTAACTGCCTGGCGGTTTTGAAATCCCAAGTAATGGGAAATGACATGCAGGGAGAAATAAGTGTCTTTGGATTCAGCTTCCTTATCCACAGTGTTATGTCTTTCCATGTACTGTCCTGAAGTGGTGATCTGGGTTTATGTTAAAACCAAACTTACAAAGCTCTTGCATTGCTTTTAATGTTTGAATAGAAGAAAAAGAGCTGGAAAAACTGCAGAACAGGAAGAAAAGGTCACTCGCTAATCTTGAAAAATGCTTATTTTCATGCATGCACTTGTAAAGCCATCCAATTTATGAAGCTATATAGTAAATAAATGACTTTAAAACATTTAGAGAAACTTATACCTTCATGAGAAACTAGGGCACTCTTCTCCTTAAGGTTCAGGATTATAGGAAATCAGTGATTTTTTTTTTTCAGATTCAGATCCTTTGAGGTTTGCAAGCCAAATAACCTTAAATACTGCTATTTCACAGAGAATTGCAAAGATTCTTATGTGTTCATACACTTCTCATGAAGAGCATTGCATGGTGGTGCTGGTACGCAAATGGAAAATTTTGGGTTTATATGGGTGAAATGACTTGCTTGATGGATCCTAGAAGTCATTCCAAATGCTTGCTTTCAGTTTGGTCGGTCACTCCCTACAAACTCCCAATTCAAGCACTTTCTGAAAATTTCTCTCGAGGCTGTCTAGTTTAATCATGTTAATGTGCTTCCTTGCTGTTATTTCAGTGCCAGCAGCTATTATCTGTCAGATTCAACAGGAACCAAAAAAAGTCTTATGCTGGATGTTAGAAAAGAGACCCAGTCAGGATGTGTGACTGTGCTGGGCTGTGAGCACATAATCTGAAAGCATTCAGAATACTTCAGGCACCCCATTTCTTGCAAATATATTGATTTTTATATCAAGCTCTGCAATCTCCAACATGAAGTATCAGTTATCCTTGAAGTGTAACAGCTGTACTTGTTTCCTGAGGCTGCTTCATCAGCTTATTTCTTTATTCCTGAGTAAATTCTAAATCTATAGACCTATTGAATTTGCCTTAAAAGTAGTAGAAACTGTCAATAACGTTATAATCACCTAACTTACTATTTATAGAGATCCTGGATGTTTTATTGATAAGCTCTGGATCTCTCTGAAGCTCAAACTCTGTTAGAAGACAGGTACTACACCTTCTTGCAGTGATAATAAGGTGTGCTATATCTGTGGAGGCTGGAAGAAGCCAAGATGCCAGCAGGGATGTGAGGGATGTCTATCCTGTGCTCCATCAGAAACTGTCGTTTTATTTTTATGCATTAAATGGGAAAAATCAATAATTGGCATGCATTTTCAGCCAAAGCAACAAGAGAAGTGTGTTGCTTTCTATGTGTGCTTGCTGAGTTGATAAACATCAGTGGTTGGAGACAGCGCCAATACAGAAGCATAGAGGAGACAAACTCAAGGATATTAAGAGTTTGTTATCTCCTAGGCATCTAGTGTCGAGACTCTGAACTGCAGGTTACCTGGACCAAAGTTACTAATCCCAGAATGGAACATTGCCAGCATTAGAAACTAAGCTGTACAAAGCATGCTGTTGTAATAAACCCAGTAAATTAAATAGTCAAACAAAAAAATACCAAGACATCTGGCATAATCAGTGAAGGCTATACAAGGACCTGAAGATTATATTCTGTTGGGGAACAGTTCGGTTTGAACAACATTCACTTCCAATAAGGAGGGCCTCTGTTTTGGTGAGTTTTTCTGTGAATTGCCACTCACATTCCTGCCCAACAGTCAGAATTGATGTCCCAATGACTAAATATGATACCTGTATATCTTCAGTTCCTTCCTAGTCCATCACTGTTTGTTTGCCGTGTGGTTTATGTCAAAAGAAGAATCTTGATTTCCTTCTAAAGCATAATTGCTTGTAGCTTTTCTGTGTTGATAGTAATTACGTTCAGAAAAGAGAGGCTTTAACTAAATGAGGCTAACCGGCCACTCCCAGCGTTGGTGTTAGTGCTGGGAAAGTACGGGTGTCACTTGTGAAACTCCAACTAGTTCAACTGTGGATGATTTTAGAGGGGAGGCTGGTGTATAGTTTTATGGCACATATCGCTCGTTAGATATGCTTCTTTCCCATCAAAATTGAAAATGTGGCAGACTACAGATTTCAGAGCTTCCTGCATGTTTATAGAATTGTCACTTCAAGATTCCTATTTAAGAGTAATATATGGAATCTATCAAATTTACTGTCTGTCTTTCTGCTAACTTCTCTGCTGGGTGTGTTTGTTACTTTCTGATGTGGGGTAATGTGAAGCTAATCCAGACCAGAAGCCTCTTCTACATGGCCAGAAAATTCAAGAAAAGCATTTTTCTTCATAAAAGCTTTCTTTCTTTAAAATATCCTTGGGAAAAAAATCTAATTGACAGTTTAATTCTTCATAAGATGCTAATGCACCCCAATTAGAACAGGAAAAAGGAAAGTGATTTCTTTTGAAGGACAGCTCTGCGTTGACCTTGGGGTCCTTTTACTCTCCCATACATCAGTTTTTGACAGGCCCTGCTTTTTGTGATCTGTCACATCAAAGGACTACTA